AACAAAAGAATGTAAGAATGGCCATCCTGGGTCAGGCCAATGGTCCATCTAGCCCAGTATCCTGTCGTCCAACAATGCCAGTGCCAGATGCTTCAGAGGTAATGCACAGAACAGGGCAATTATAGAATGATCCATCCCCTGTTGTCCACTCACAGCTTCTGGCTGTTAGAGGCTTAGGACACTCAGAGCATGGGGTTGCATCCCTGATCATATTGGCTAAAAGTGATTGATGGACCTATCCACCATGAACATATCTAATTCTTTTTTGAACCCAGTTATAGTTTTGGCCTTCACAACATCTCCTGCCATGAGGTCCACAGGTTGACTGTGCATTGTGTGAAGTAGTACAGTAGAACCCCATTTATCCGATCCTCCATTATCCGGCATTTCACATTAACCGAACAACCAGGACTCCAGGACCAGAAGCAGGTGGTATCTCTTGTAACCACTAGATGGTGATGCAGCATCACATTTTTCCATTCTCTGGATTATCTGGATTTTTGATTATCTGATTTGTTCCCAGTCCCAATTAGATCAGATAAACAGGGTTCTGCTGTACTTCCTTTTGTTTGTTTTAAACCTGCTGTCTATTAATTTCATTGTGTGACCCCTGGTTCTTGTGTTATTTGAAGGGGTAAATGACACTTCCTTATTAACTTTTTCCACACCGGTCATGATTGTATCGACCTCCATCATATCACCCCTTAGTTGCCTCCTTTCCAAGTTGAAAAGTTCCAGTCTTTTTAATCTTTCCTCATACAGAAGCTGTTTCATATCCCTTATGTTTTGTAGTTGTGTGGACAGCTCATGGTAAAACTGATGGAATAATGAATGTTCAGACTTAAGCAACAATGGGTTCAGACACTCACATGGCCTGAATTCTGCTTACTTTTAGTAAAATATAACTGAATTGGCCAAATTGCAATTGTACGTGCCTCTTCATCATGAAGGGCATTATAAGATGAAATGTTCATCCATCTGCCCTTTATTAATTGTACTATTATATATCTTCGTGTTATATCAAATAAGTTGGGATAGAATTCTTTACAGTTGAGATGCAAACATGAAAAACTAAAATAGCTTTTTCAGACATAATGATTTACTAATATCACTATAGATTCCCAGGCAAAAACTCCATTCAGATGGAGTTAAATTTGAAAGTACATATGAGTTATTTAGGGTAAACTGCATTTTAAGCATCTTGTAATTATCACTAAAGTAAACATTATAAATGTAGGAAATGTAGAGTCAAGGTTATGTGTAATAGAAATCCAAACATGTTATGGTATGTAAATGTATATGGCACGCAAACAACCTTAACATGTCCCTGAAGAGACACCATGATTGGGGAAAAATACTGGAAAAAATGAATGTATCTTTAAAAATCAGTTTAATGTAATCTGACTGCTTCCACGGACTATCACTGAGTTGAGTTAACTACATCTCATACTTTTTCTCACTCACTGGCAAACTCTGTGGATTCCTTGGCTTATTTAAGTAAAATAGATTTGGGATTATAATATATTTCTTGCTTGAATTTGGGTAATTTTTTATATATTCTTATTCTTAACAGAACCCCAAACAGAATTGAAATAAAGGGGTATTTTGTAAAACAATATATAGGGCTAGACCCTCAGTGGGTGTAAATTGGCATAGCACCATTGGCTTCAACTGATTTACACCCACTGATGACCTAGTCCATGATATGGAAGCAGAATTGTTTCTCAACAAAATATTTCTTCAAAGTTTCCATAAAGCACCCGCTAGTCTATAATAGTAATTTGGAGGATTAAAACGGGGGAGAGCTTCTTGGAAGAGCTGGCTGTTAATACTGAGACACAAAGGAGCAACGGAGATGTCTCAAACATCTGGCTGAACTGTCATTTTTAAAAGGCTCTTTTGGGTTTGTTGCACAGTATACATCATGTTATTTAGTAATTCATAACTCCACTGTCAAAACTGAATTCCTCCATTAAAACAAACAAAAAAAAGTAGCCTAAACGAGTGCATGAATCAGGGCTGGAAAGAGAGGAACACAGCTTCTTGAGCTTTCAGCACTGAGTTTTCTATTGCTTTGGTCACCTGCAATAAACTATACAATCCTTCTAAATGTTAGTTGCTTTTAAAAATTCATTATGAGCAAACAAAACAACAAAAAATTGACCACTGTTTAAATATTGTAACTTTCCACTCAGCTCATTGCTAAGTATCTCTCATTCAATAAGTGTTATGCCAGATGATTACAGAGAATTAGAGGGCAGGTTCTCTTGGGAAAGAAGGTTGCATTCTATAAACCCATCTGAGTTGGGACATGTGGGGTATCATTGGCTCATCTGGAGGTGATATCCCACATGTCCCAACTCAGATGGGTTTTACAGAGGATCTAAAGAATACACCATGATATCAATGGATTTAGTTAGATAATCTTTTGATTAACATTATGCATTACTGTCCTTCTAACATCTGCTTATTAAGACAATAATTTCAAAGAGGAAAGTGTAATAAATACATTGCATGATCAGCGAAGAATTTTATCAGCAAGTCATAAACAATGCTTGAGCACTGACAGATTTTCTTCTCCATAGAGCTTAGGATGTTGCCCAAGAAAAGGTGAGAAGGCCATCAATTTATTCCACGTATCGTACTGAAGTGGCCATTTTACATAGGCTGTCGAAACAGTACAATATGCCAAAGGGAAGGAGATGAAATGGGAAAATAATAGCAACTAGTCAAAGCTCTCTCTCCAATGGCCATTTCCCTTTATCAACCTCTCCTCCTCCAGGCAGGAAATTCCTTCTGTGCCTGATTAAGCCTGCTTTGTGCTCAAAATCTGCCAGTGACACAGCAAAGAATAAACCTTTGGTTTCTATTTATCTTAGGTACTTACCTGGCCCTCATTACTCGAGTATCTGAGCATCTCACAATCTTCAAAGATTCATCATTTTTAAGGCCAGAAGAGACCATTGTGATTATCTAGACTGACGTGCATAACACAGGCCATAGAACTTCCCCCAAAAAACATTCTAGAGCAGATCTTTTATTAAAATATCCTATCTTGATTTAAAAATGGTCTGTGACAGAGAATCCACCACTGCCTCTCAGCTCATCACTCCTGAGCTATTCTTAATATGCAACTCCTTCGGCCCCTCAATACAGTATGCACACATACTGGCATATTAATATCCCTAATTTGGAAACTCTGAATAAAACTGGTTACTTACTGGAAAGGTTTAACAACTTTTCTATGCCTGCTGTTCCATGCTCCATTGACAGTACCAAGTTTTACAGATACCAGTGTATCTCTTTGGGCAATGCTTTTCCTAATGTCCAACCTAAGCCTCCCTTCCTGCAATTTAAGGTGTGGATAGGGGTCAGGGTGCTCAGGGGGGGAACAGTGGGTTGAATGGGGGCAGGGGTTCTGGGGGGCAGTCAGGAAGGAGGGGGGTTGGATGGGGCAGCAGGGAGCAGTCGGGACAGGGAGAAGGGGTGGTTGAATGGGGCAGGGGTCCCGGGAGGGGGCCGACAGGAATGAGAGGAGGGGTTGGATGTGGCGGCAGGAGTCCGGGGGCGGTCAGGGGACAGGGAGCGGGTATGTGTGGATGGGGTAGGGGTTCTGGGGGGCACATAGGAGGTGGGGGCCAGGCCATGACCCCCTCCCATAACCAGTCAATTTACGAAACCCGATGCGGCCCTCAGGCCAAAAAGTTTGCCCACCCCGGGCTAAGCCAAGGTGGTCTTTTGTCATGCTTCCTGTCTTTCCTATACAGTGGGATAGTTCACTCATGAGTCCTTAATAATGTCTCTGAAAAACTGCCAACTGTTATCCTGCCTACAGAAACTGCTACTTCTTACTGCCACCACAGGTGAAAGCCACCCTTGCTGGGGGCCTTATCCACCTTTTATGCTGTTTTATGGAGCTGTTCAGATACAGAGAGGAGATTTCACTGCTTCGGTGGAAACTTTTTCGGTAACCCATTGTATTTTGCTTTTGTTCTTCTTTACGATTTGTCCTGAGAGCTTTCCAAAATGGTTGCTTTTAATCTATGTGTGGCATCACACCCTTTTTATTAGGAAGTAATACACGGGGTGGTGATAAGAGACTTTCATTTCTGACCTCAGTCCTATGATGTCAGGGTTGCAAAAAGATAATAGCCTTGTCATGAAGCAAGAGTCAATATCCAAGTACTCCACTTGATACTGTTGCAATGGCCAGATTGTGCCATCAAGGCACAGGCCTGTGTTGGGGGCAGTGGGAAGGTAGGGGGCCATGGACCTTGCCTCTTCCCCATTCCTCCCAGCTGCCTTTCCAGTGTTTTGAACCATGCATGAACCTAGCAACAAGCAGGGACCACTTAGGAGAACTAAAGCACTTCAATTACTTATAGCCCTTGCTGTGGGGCCCACCTGAGGATTCCCTGAGCCCTCTCTCATTTCACATGTGCACAAGGGCCAGGCCCAGACTGGCCCTGAGTGAGCAAACTATATACCTTAAAAGAAGTTTGCATCCATTTTTTCCAGTCCAGTATCCAGAAAGTAAAATGGGAAAGAATAAAAAAAAAGACATTGGAATTCAGTTAATGATATCTACTATGTCCTCAGTTCACCTCATTGTATCTAGACCTTGATGTTGAAGAGATCTCAGGACATTTCAAATGCATGCTGCAATATCTTGGCAGAATGGGGAAAAGTTAATCCTTAGACACTGGGAGTCAGATTTTCCTGGCTTCGTGCTTGTTGCTGGCATTTGACGCACTGGACTCATTCATTCCAAGCACTGAGTAGTAGCCTTAACTGTGAAGTTTCTTGATTTGTCAGTTTCTGTCAGGCTTTGAACATACCATCTTGTAAGATTTTACATTCTGTGTTCTCCTCACTGGTGTTACTGCGTAACTGATAAGTCTGGCGATTAATTAGTCTGTCCCATGAGAATATCCATTCAGTTTGGTTTGCTTGTGCACAGCCCATTCCTAATGTGATCAGCTCTTACTTTTCTGTCATTGTCAGGTTCCAGCTTTTACCAGTATACACTGAGTAGCAGCTGTTAGCTCTTCATCTGATATCCTGTGATACAGAAATATTTCCAAAGACATGTCATGTCAAAAGTAGCATCTCTCTATGCAATCCTCTACAGGGGGTTTGTGAGCTACTCAAATAATAATGTTGTTTGATCTATAGATGGCGCTAGTTGTGTTAATACAGATACCGTCGTTCTGCTTTAACAAGATAGTGACTGAAGTGACGAGTAACTTCAGCCTGTAGCTCTGGCTGTGTTCCTAGCAGACAGAGAATAAAAAGCAATCCCTAGCTTTCTTCCTTAAATGTTGAACTGAAAAGCATATGTCACATATATGAGAACAAGATGTAAAGTTTAGGTAAATCCTCTTGAATTTCAGATGAAGAATTGCTCTGTTAGACATGTCAGGCTAAGTTCATCCCTTTTGTCATTCCACTGACTTCAAAGGAACTACACCAGGGCGGAATCTGACCTATTATCCAAGGTAAAGTGACAGATTTAACTACGGAGAGTTCTAATTAAAAATGGATATGATGATACAGAAAAATATATAATCCATTCTTACTCTTGGGCAACTCCACGGACTTTGACTTTACATCAGGAAAAAGAATTTGGTCATAGATTTTGGTCATAGTTGCTTACATTTAAAACTAAGTTTTCTTTAGGATACCTTATAAATATATAGACCCAAATTCTCCCCAGACTTACAGTATGTAAAATATAACCTCAATAAATAAAGCCAGTGGGATTCCATTGCAGTGATAATTTGTTCCATAGTTAATTACTTAAAACATAATAAAACCCCAAACCAAGAGAGTTCAGATAAAAACTCTGAAGTGACAATCCAATATATATTCAATATTATCTTGCTACTTTGTGTTTTCAATTGTTATTGTTTTATTTTGCATTAAAATAGCACCTGGAGTCAAGTCAGGATCAAGGCTTCATTGTGTTAGGCAGTGTATAAACACACAGCTAGATCCCTTCCTTGAAGCATTTGCAATCTAAGATGAAGTAATATGCAGTCTAAATAAAATATCAGTGATGATACCACAACTAATGACTGGGGCCATGATCTTGCAAACTGCTCTGTTTTGGAACTTGGAATCGCTTGCAGGATTAGGACCAAGATGAACAGTATATCTGCAATATATTCATATAGTATATACAACAACCTCGGCATTCAAGCTTCAGAAGCGAAGTTGCCTTTTACGGTGAAACCATAGGACACCATGATCCTTGCCATTTCTGATGTTTTGTTCAGTCATTACACAATGAATTTCCTCAAAGGGAAGAGGTAATTGTGTAAATGGTCTTAAAAATGTTGCTAATTTATTGCAAGGTATTGCTAAGTATAATTCAAATGGTCACAATAGGAGACATGCATCTTTTTACAAAACTTATAACGTGAGGCTCTCACACAGTGTGGTTGATGCGGTGTGTGTGTGTGTGTGTGTGTATATATATATATATATATAGCTATATATAGTATATATATATACGCATATATCA